AACTCTGTCCCAGCCGAAACCAGGACAAGCTCTTCTAAGCATCAAAACTAAGACCCGTGTGCCTGAGCACGGATGTCTTTAACGCCCCGAACAAGTCAGCTGGGCTGGTCCTGTACCTCGGAGCTCTGACGGTCACGGAGGAGGCGACCCAAGCCACCGTGGGAATGCATCGACCCTTATGGCGCTTACACTTTGCATGCGGACAGGAAACCGCAAATAAGGCGGCAAACCAGAGGGAAGAGAGGGGAGAGAAAAGCAGAAGAAGGAGGAGAGCAAATGGGACTCTCTCTCCACTCAGTTTTGCCGTTTACTTTCTGAAAAGTGAAAAACACATTTGCTGCCGCAGATCTGTAAACTAACGACCTGATCAGAAATCACCAAATTTCATTTTCTGGCTCAGCATCACTTCTTTTAGCTACAGACTGAATCGCAATGCATTTCATGACACAAAGAGCTAATTAATGGCTCCTGTGTCTTACTCTGGCTCCTTTCTGCCTTTCATAAAATCTTCACTCGGTAACTGGTTTCGATGGCTGTTCTTGTTTTAGACTGTTCTGCACCCTCTGTGTGTAAAATATCCCCCTTCCACCAAGTACAGAAGATGCTTTCTAACTGAACTCATCAAAAAGGTAGTGCTTACTTTTCACGTTGGTTGCAACTCTTTTTTTTTTTTTTCTTGAAAATATGCCAGTTTTACATTATGGGCCAAGCTGAATTATTTGTATTAACAAAAAATAGCATTCAGTGTAAATATCATGGCCAATGATGTACTAAAATGGTACTTAATGTGTGTATGTTTTCTGTTTCATGACAAACAATTTGATAGCTGAAACTGCCCTGTTCTCTTTCGCACAGCATGAATCCGCAGCAGCTGAACCCCTGGATGAACTGTATGATACGCTGGCAGGTATTTTAAACGAAGAAGAATCCACTCACTGTTACAAAAACTACTTACTGGTAAGAACTAATGCTGCATTGTTATAGGTCACTTTTAATCATCTGAACTAAGCAATGATTGGCTTTAGAAGTAACTGCCCAGAAACCCGAAGTGCTTCCTACCTTTTTGCAGGTGCTAATATTGATTGTAAACTGTAAAATCCCTTGTCTGTGCTGATCCATCTCTCTCCTCGTGTGTGTCCTCCAGCCCACGGGAGAATCTGTTACCCTTTCTGAGAGCGTGGCAATTATCTCTGGAGGAACGACGGGGCTCGTCACGTGGGATGCTGCTCTTCATCTCGCTGAGTGGGCAACAGAGAACTCCACAGTTTTCAGTAACAGGTAACGACAGCAGCACAGACAGAAAGATGGGGAAAGAACCCAAGGTATTTTCATTCGTATCGTGAGTGAGCTATGCAAATGTGATTTAATAATATACAATATTTACCCCCCAAATAACTGAAATGACTACACCCTTTCGCTACTGGCTAACTGCTGCTCTCATCTGTTCTGCAACAGTCAAACTTTAATCCAGGAGAGGACCTCGTAGTTATTTTAAGACGGGTTTTAAGATCAAAACCATTACACCATGCGGTCAGACATGCTCCGTAAAGTAGGCTGTTAAGTTTCAGCTACCGCACTATCTAGCCAGTAATTTTAACTAGTGCACTTCACTCTATGATGGGGTTCATCTCACCTAAGTTTAGATGATCGATGTGCAGGTGTGCACATCTAACTTCATAGTCTAGACTTTATAAGCAGTTGAGAGGAACCAGCACTTCTGAGGAAAGATTCAGCTAAGTTAATTTTAAATATCAACCTCACAAGGAAAGGAACTGTGCTGCTGAAGTGTCTGTTTCTCTCCACTGACTCTGAAAAGAACTGGACAGCCAGTTTAGATGGAGACAACCATGCTGCAGAAGTTTAAAAACAGGTGGAATGTATCTCACCCCAGCAGTGGAAATGCTTTGTACCACATGCAAAAGCAGTATTTCAAGTACTTCATTTTTATGCTTACAATTGCATCTTCAGTGTTTACCAACTCTACCGGTTATTTGAAATAAAGATGAGATTGTAGATGGTTTACTCAAAAATTACTGAAATAATCTGTAACTGATTTTACCTTTAGATCTACTTAGAATGTTTTGATTTCCTAACTCAATTTGGAATCCTAGTAAGTCCTTCTTTTACTCCATTACCCTTCAGGACAGTCTTGGAACTAGGAAGTGGGATCGGCTTCACTGGAATTGCAATCTGTAAAACCTGCAATCCCAAGACGTACATATTTAGTGACTACCACCCCTGTGTTCTCAAACAGCTGACAGAAAACATCCGTTTGAATGGCTTTGTCTTGGAGCCTGAAACTACTCGTCACATCCAAACAGAGCCCCAGGGCCAGGAGGCAGAAGCAACGAATTGCCAAAAACCAAAACTAATTGTTGCAGAACTTGACTGGGGCTCAGTTACAGAAAAACAACTGTTGGATCTTCAACCTGACGTCATCATTGCAGCAGGTGCTTTACACTTCTGATTACACCTCACTGTGTGCTATCATGCAGGAATAAAGAGGTTAGAGAGAGAAACGCGAAGGTACTTGTGTGCAGGATTCACTCAATCCTACTCCAGTTACCATATCTGGAAGCGTATGACAGATCATCTCCCAGTTCATTTCACCATTCTGTCTTTTTCAGATATTCAGCAGTTGTTTACGTAAGACTGAAAAGTAAATTATTTTTCCCTTCTGTTTTTTTTTTTTTTTTTTTTAAAAATCCAGAAACAGGTGATAAATCTGCCACTTTTAAGAGCCTCATCAATAACTGGCAGTCTTGGCATTCTCTTGAGGGATAACATGCATTTTAAAAGAAAGTCACTTTTTTGGAACTTGCCGATGTATAAATCTGGAGGGAGTTTATAAAAATCTAATAATGCAAAATTTAGCAATAGTAAAATTTCTTAGCTGTAGGTACAAGATTTTGCTCCCTGATTTGGGGCTTTGCAAAGCAAAAATTACTTAAAAATGTAGGTGAAAAAAAATGACAAAATATACTGCCTTTGTCATCAAAGTATCACATAATGCATTAAATATGTGAATTCTGTAAAATGAAGTCACTGTGTGGATATTGCCTAATGCCAACCATACTGTTCAGAGGAGGCACAAACAGCCCAAGCTGGACTCATGAAGGCAAGGCAATTCAAAACTGAAGGTGATTTATATGTATCTACTATTTACTGTTACTAGTTACGGCAGGACATTCCCTTACTACATTGCATCAAGAGTAACTGACTGTCTGTCACCGGTACACGTACATGACTCGACATTTCTGTGTAGTAAACAATCACCTCTTGAGTATCAGTCCTTAACACAAGACTGACGCATTTCAGAATCACAGTGCTAATTAGTAAGGCTGACATTTTGTACCCCTACCTTTCGGCACTATTTCTGCTCTCAAGGAAACTATTCAAGATGAAAACTGCTGCAGTTCAAATCAAATCTTCTGCAATCAACCTCTAAAATACAGATTTTTGAACAATGCAGTTTCGTTCTGCTAAGGACAGTCGTAACAGAGAGTATCAATGCTCAATGTTATTGCTGCCTCCCCTAAGGTGGGTTTAAATGCAGTATCTGACAATCCATTTACAAAAAGGAGCACTGATTTTCAGTGATTTTTGGACCGATATTAGAGATGAGGGCAACTTGACATAGCAGGTAAAGTAGAGGCATTTTCTAAGATCTCTTCTTGGGAATTTTCAACCCCTGAATACAAAAATCGTATTCTCCTGCAAGGTGAATATTTTATATTTTTGTTTTGTAGTTTTCATTCTGCTTTTTGCTCAATTCTCAATAAATATTGAATGTTTTCCTTTTTGTGCAGATGTGGTATATGATCCAGAGATAATTTTAGCCCTTATTGGTATGCTACAAAAACTCTCTACTTTCAGAGCAGGTAGAAAGCCTCCTGAGATCTACATTGCTTTCACAATTCGTAATCCAGACACGTATCACCTGTTCCAGGCTGAACTCGGTAGGTGCCTTTTTCATGAAGTGTATCAATAGTTTTGGCCTCTTTCCCCATTACTTAATCAGTAGTAGAGATGAACAGGAGCATTTTTTGGTGATGGGTGTTGTCCAATAGTGAGATTCTTATCCTAGAGCTGGATTTAAGAGTGGTCTGCCTCAGAGCAGTAACTTTTCCGCATGTATTTGATCAGGAGAGTGGAACTTAGCTTTTTGCTACATGTTGTCTATCACAACTCACATCCGTTAATGCCAACTTGAGATGAATTGCAATAGGAAACTAAAAAAGGGTTAAGCTTAAAGGAGGAAAACCATCTGTGCTGCACTGTCACAGTGGTAACATTCGAGATGCAGCCTAATACATTTACTTATCTTAACTGTTCTTTGGGGGTTAAAAGAACCAACTAGAGATTAAATAAAATAGGGAGGGATTTTGGATTTTTCTTCCTATGCTCTTCAAAAGCCTGTCTTTTGCAGTCTACTAGGTGTACAACTGGTCTACAGCAATTGGTTAATTCACAAAATTATGCTGAGTGCATAGCAGAAGCATCACTGTTAATTTTTAAAAATACTCAAAAGCATTTGTCTGTAGCTTGCTTTAGCAGCATGCTAAAGATCTCTTCTTACAGAACTTGACATGCAACTTTTGCTCTTCATTTTATTAAGCAGAAATATGATTCTCAGTGTTTCTCTTCACAGATAAAGTTGGGATCGGACGGCAGATTATCCCAGCCCACAGCAACAGTATTTTTCTCTATGACGTGCAGCCAAACGTAACTCTTCTACAGCTATTTATATAGACTTGGAAATATGACATAGGTCCTGTTAGTCTGAAAATTCTAGTTATCTCGTCCTTGCAACAACAGTATCTTGAATTCAAGAAACGTACACAAGAGGCACTGAAGGTACAACTATATGAATGGACTGATATCAAAGTGAGTTACGTTTCTTCCTACAATTGTCAGCATGTATGCAAGCAAGCTGCTGCCCCTGAAAAGTATCTGTGAACCTCAAGCAATAGAAAAAAAAAAGCTTTAATCATACTGCACTTTGATTCTGTGGAAGACAACAGAATTGAACTGTATTTTTTTTTTTTTAGCTGTGTTTTGATTTGTAAATAACGGAGGCACATCTGCAGGATCACAGGGTGAGTATCTCACATGGACAAGGGAGCAAAACAATGTTTCATAGTAATAAATATTTTTTAATATTAAAACCAGCTGTAATTGTCTACTCTGGGGTTTTTTTATGCTTTTCTGTATATACTTCCATACTTGCAGTATAGGTAATCTTAAAAATGAATAATACCTAGTGAATGTAGTAGATAGCGTCACAAGCTTACATGATGCTGTAAGAGGGGGTAATAAACTCCGCTGTAAATCAGGTGCATCTTTACTCTGCAGTGATGACAAAAATCTGAACCTGATTTACATTTCTCTCACGTAAGGACTATCACTTTCACAACTAGCTATTGGGAAGCCATCTCTCAGCCTGGCCAGAAAAAAAAAGAATCGTACTCTGTAGCAATGCTCTACATATACTGCAAGGAAGAAGAATTGAGCTTACCTTCTTTGAAACTTTCCATAATCCATTAATCATTTTCCTGTTGGACAGTATTGGTACTGAAACAGAAAATCAAATATGCTGCTCTTTCTCCTCTTTTTGACTTCCTTTTGTGTACCTTGTTTTAAAAGCTACTTAAAAGAAAATGAACAAATACTTAGCCGCCTCCTCCTGTAATAATGGAGAGAAAATGGACGATAGGCAACTTGAAACTTGAAGATTCATCTTACTCTTCAAGCTGAAGGAGGCCATGACTGCTAGTATTAAGTTCGATGTACAGAAGTAACCCCACACCAGGTTTTAGCAACCTCTCCCCGAGAAGGAAGAATTCAAAGGTACTAGAGTAAATGCACACTAGCAGCCCAAACAGGAGCTCCTTTATCTCCCCTTACACAAAATTCTTCAAGTCACTCAAAAGTTCTGTACAGGTGGCTCATTTTGGATCTAAAAAATTTTATTATAGGAAGATGAAACCTCTCTAAAGCTTTCGGCATTACTGTTTAATTAGAGAAGTGCCTAATTTACCTCCATGTGCACATCAGTGGCTAAAGGGGAATGGCCAAACTATCAGACAGGATTTTGCTTGAAAACAATAGAAAGAAAATTAAAAAAATCGGCAAATAAATCTTTATGGAACATTCTTCAGTCAATAAACTAGTGAAATTGCCAAACTCCTGCAGTAAGCAACTTGGACTCTTATTTTTACCTTCCCACCAGCAGAACCAAACCACTGTCAACAATGTGGGCCCTCACCGGAACAGAACAGGAGACCTGGTTACCCCCAATACGGAGAAGGCTGAGGTACTCAATGACTTTCTTGCCTTGGTCTTCACCAGCAAGTGCTCGAGCCTCACTGCCCAAGACGCAGCAGGCAAAGGCAGGGACTGAGAGAATGAAGAGCTGCCCACTGAAGGAGAAGATCAGGTTCGAGACGATCTAAGGAACCTGAAGGTGGACAAGTGCATGGGACCTGATGAGATTCATCCATGGGTCCTGAGGGAACTGGCGGATGAAGTTGCTAAGCCACTATCCATCATATTTGAGAAGTCATGGCAGTCCAGTGAAGTTCCCACTTCAGGAAAAAGGGGAAACATAACCCCCATTTTTAAAAAAGGAAAAAAGGAAGACCTGGGGAACTACAGGCCAGTCAGTCTCACCTCTGTGCCTGGGAAGATCATGGAACAGATCCTCCTGGAAGCTATGCTAAGGCACATGGAGGACAGGGAGGTGATTCAAGACAGCCCGCATGGCTTCACCAAGGGCAAGTCCTGCCTGACCAACCTAGTGGCCTTCTATGATGGAGTGAGTACATCAGTGGACATGGGAAGGGCTACAGATGTTGTCTATCTGGACCTCTGTAAGGCCTTTGACACAGTCCCCCACAACATCCTTCTCTCTAAACTGGAGAGAGATGGATTTGATGGGTGGACTGTCCGGTGGGTGATGAATTGGTTGGATATCCTCCAAGAAAGTAGTGACAAGATCCGGTGCTCTCAACATAGATAATGGAGACTGACAGACCTCTATGACTTCAACAGAAATTACAAAATAATGGAGAAATCGGAGCAAAACCTCCTACATACACTCTCAGCAAGTTTGCAGATGACACCAAGCCGTGTGAGGCAGTTGACACACCTCAGGGACAGGATGCCAT